GGAAAATCTATTTTAAGTAAACTTGACGACAAATCCAAATCTTTTTTTAAAATTCTTATTGCTTCATTGGATCAATTGGTATGTTTGCAAGAACACGTCTAAAATCCTATGTCGCACAAGTGACAGTATTGAATCACCATAAAATCGATTTTCTTAGGCGATTAATATTATTATTATAATAAGCATTATTGTTGGCAGTACATTTTACTAGGGAAAAATAATAATTTACCACTATTAAGCACCCCTTTCTCCCATAGTTACGCCTATGTTTATATTTTGTAAAAGTGATTTTTTGATTTGGAAACAAAAAGGGTATTATAATAATATGAACTCAAAACATTCCGATGTTTCTTAAATTATCATGTTCTAAACTCAATGAAATTTTCAAAATATTTAGACTACTTTTAATCACTTTATAAACATTTTTTTTTTTTTTTAAAGTGTTGATTAAAGTTTTTAGCTTATGTCAAAATGGTTAAAATGTAATACAAGATCCTAGATAAGTTGTTCTTTTAGCAATTTAAAAATATTAAAAATATATAGATTACAGTTTTTATTTTAAGAGTTTAAGTTCAAGAAAAAATTGCATACTATTTTCAAATTGAAAGTGCAGGATGTTTCATTTGTATCTATTCAGTCATTTTTAAAAATGAGTTGGGTATAAATTATGTTGAAAAAACATCTTGTATTCAAGACCAGGGATGTAATTTCAATATCTTAAATAAATATATTAAAGGACTTACCTTTGTCAGGAAGTATAAGTCTCAGGAAAATATCCATAAGCATGTCTACAGACACAAATGGGCCATGAAAACAACCAGGTGGTGGTAATACTTGCATTAGCTGACAAGCTGGTGGTGGCGGCGGAAAGGTTCCTCCTTTAAAATTGTATTTATAATATTAGAAATTCAACAAATATTTCATTTTTATTACCTGGCACAATATGTTCGCCTGGAAAAGCATTCAATTTTGGTTTATACGGTACCATTTGAGAAATATCTGGCACTGGCAATCTTTTTTCATTGGGTCGATTATCTAAGTCATCTAACCCATCGATAACAGCAGACCTTTGGGTGGAATTATGCATTGTTTTAGATACTGTATTGGTAACTTCGTTATAACCAATAGATTTCAACTCGGGACTTGTACATGGAAATAAGTCTAAAAACCTATACCTATCCACAAGTTGTGCTGTTTCTTTTCCTTCAAACTCAACTAGCTAAATTAAAAAAATTAAATATAAATTATATTTATTTTTTAATGATTTTATATAATTATTTTAAATTACCTTGCCAAAAACAGCAGATCGCCTTTTCTCTACTTTCAGTATGCTTGACAAATCTCCAATATTTGATTCAAATTCAAGGAATCGATTCCAAATATCTCTGAAATTAATAAAAAATTAATTAACAAGTGTTTGCATTATTGTAAATTATTATTTATTTTAAAAATAAAAATTGTTACACAGATTTTTCTGGTTCAAGACTTGTGTTTGATAGAACTCTCTCAAATAATACCCTTGTATTATTATCCTCTATAAAAAAAAAGTAGTACAGTAAATGTATTAAATATTATTTAATATTATAGATGAATTATTTACCATTAAGATGAGAAAGATAATCTATATAACTAATAATATACTGAGGGTTGTCGCAATACTTTTTTAATCCAAGCTCAAAAATACGAAAAGCAATGTTTTTATCTTTACTACAATAATATTCCATTAAAGCAGCAGAGACATAAACATGGTATTTAGATCTAGAGTCGTCCCTGGCTTTTTTAAAAACTGCTCGTGCTGATTTAATACCTTCGGCGCGACGAGCAAATTTCATATATTGTACATATGTCTGTAAACCATTAAAATATTAAATTTGATATTTAGATGATACAATACAATTTTTAAAATTCATACCAGTGTTGGATCAGTGGTAATTTCATTTTCTAAATAACTTTTATAAATACTATGAACTTTTTCATAATTCATACGACCTTCTTCAAAATCAGCATAAGCAAACCGTAGTAACATACTTGTATTTAATACAGTACCAATTGCTCTTTCATAAACATTAGCTGCTTCGTCGCTATACTGTTTAGCTGCTGATATATCCTAAACACATAAATGTTATAATAATAATATAATATTTAATAATTTGTAGGTAATTTTTTAATAATACTTACCCCTTTTTCTGAGAGAATTTTAGAACTTCCATCCAAAAATTGGGCAGCTTCATACCAAAAGTCAGGATGATGGGTCATGCATAATAGTGCTTGGTCAAAAGCAAACATTACTCGTCTTGTAATTAGAGCAGTGTCTTCAGTATTCAAAGGGTTCGCTTTTTCCCAAATTATATATTTTTTCCACAATTCCACCTATTGAAATAAATAATCATTAATTAGTACACAACTAAAAATAAAAATAACAAAACCAGACACTTACTTGTTTCATCTCGTCTAGGCTACCAGTTGGGGGTGCACTAGGATAATTCTTGTTCAGTCCTCTTATAACTACCTCATACTCTTTGGTGACTCTCCTGGCATTCATATAATCTCTACTTCGTTCAATCATCATCTTGTCAGCAATCATAATATTAATACTTTGTTCAAACGCCAGATACTCTTTCCATAACAATTCAATGTTAATCATAGGATTTACAACACCACGTTGATACACCTAAAGTATAAGATATTAATTTCATAATAATTTATAACTTTACACTTTGTTGAATAAGAATCAAATTTAACTACCTTTCTGATTGCTGTGATCTTTTGGTTTTCAGCATATGAACCAACTGCTTCAACACTACTTAAAAAGGTTATGTAATCTTGCCAAATGTTATGTGAATGTATATCCATGCCAATTTTCTCCAATGCGAAATCATATGCTTGGGCCATTTTTTCTCTATAATATATTTTTAAAGAAGTTAGATCATTAAATGAAAATTTAGTATTTTTCTGTTATCATCTTAGAGACAAATAAAGACTAACCTGACCATTATTTTTTTTATTATATTTAACTATGTTAGTCACTACTCACTTGTTATTTAAAAGTGTATACAATTAAATATTTTACATTTTAAAATAATTATGAATATAAAATACAATACATTTTAAAACAATAATTAGTTGGTAACATAAAAACTATACTTATTAATAATAGTAATCTACTATTTCATGAGTGATTATTAAGTTTATTTATACTTAAAAGTCTATTCATCACTCAGACTTTTTAAATCGAAAATAAGTATAGGTATTTTGTATTTACTTTACCTTATTATGAGAATTCTTGCCATATTAAAAATATATTTTATTATAACTCCTATGGGGTTTACATAACAAGTTAGCAGATATTTTTTACTTAGAGATAAATTGTTCCCTAAATAATAATTATCTTATTTTATAGAATACAATAAAGAAATTGGAGTTATTTATTTGCCTTGAGTATGATAACAGAAAAATATCATAAATTTGAAAAATTATTTACTTGTAAGTCGGTAAAAGTGCTTTTGTCTCTTTAACATAAGCTAGATAAAGTTTCCACAATTCAATGTTAAGTACTTTGACGAGACAACGCTGAAAGAGCTGATGAATATGTGATGATATTAATAAAAACAAATGGTTGAAATACATGTCGTGTTAAATATAATATTACTGTACCTTCTCGACTTTTTCAAAGTTCCGTCCACGCATCTAAAAAACAAAAATATAATAAGTATTGTCAACCGCAATAAATAAGTGGAATTATTTTTAACAACTTTTTCAATATAGGACCTAATTTTACAAATAATAAATATTATTATATTTGTTAATTGTTATACATACTTCCATTTCGATATAATACTTCCAGTATCGACCAGAAGTCGGAAATGTAGTGACAAGTTTTTCAAAGAACGACCGTACGTCGTTGATCCATCGAGTCTGTGCTTCACGCAACAGTAACGACCACGCCTCTACATCCCAAGGATTTTCGTTGGTCGCATCCTGTGCATCTTCCAATTTTTCATTTCCCCAGTTCTGTAACATATCGTATGCGATCATAATAGTTAATGATGTACGTAATAATTCACTTTAAAATAACGCTTACCACTGGCGGATATTCTTCGACGGCTGTTTCCATTTTAGCGCAGTATACAGTATAGTCTTAGACTAACACAAGGAACATAGTTTGCACTTAGCGGGCTGAGTTTTGAACTTTTGAATGTTCGAAAACTTTGATTTTTGTATTTGTTATTTGTAAATTGTAAACGTTATTATCACAAAATTAAACATGATAGCCGGCAAAACGCATTCATAGTAGACCTATAAACTAATGGACTGCACCTCACTCACCACCCAGCCATCAATGAGTGGCGCCAATATAGAGTGAGTGAGAAAGAACATATTGGGGGAATCTTGGTGGACAATCATATAAGAGAAAGAGAGAAAAAACATAATGGGGGAAATCATAGACGTATAATACTGTAAATCGTTATATTCTGTGATCCGGTGATCGTACCCCTGACCTCTCTCTCTAAGCGCTGTCCATTAGTTTAGTTTATAGGTCTATGAACGCAATAACGCATTGGTGTTTTGACTTTAAATAAATAATTTATTTGGTGGTGAGTGGTAACTGAACGGTAGTGGTCTGATAACATAAATAATATTATTATTATTATATTAATCGAGGTGCATATTAATATTATCATCATTGATGAATCGCCGTTATCAGGCACCACCACTCACCAGAATATATTTTCATTTAATCAATTTATTACTATAAAAATATAAAATTAATGTTTTCATATTTCATTATTCTTCAGTTCTTTGTAGCGCCGGCCGCCGAGTGTCAAACTGTCAACTTTCACGTCTAAGTGCTAGGACGGTGGTTTCAGTGAACGCCATTAAAACCTTCCTGTTTAGACTCATCTGTTAACAGGATCTTTATTAACGGTTGATGGGTTGAGAAATGAAATGATAGATTAAGCTATTTGAGCTCATTCACGATTGACTTCTTAAAGAAAACTATGGCTGAATTCATTAGAGGTGGTCCAGGTGTGGTTTTGCGCGATAAAGTACATGCTACGCTAAGTCTCAACAGTGAAGATAGCCAAGACATACTCGATCAAGACTTTGATCCATTCATAGAACAAGATGAACTGGACGGTAGGAATAATGTGTCATTGTTACTAGCACCACCTGAAAATCATTGGTATCATGGTCGGTTGAGTCGGTATTTAGCCGAGGAACGACTGCGGCAGGCTGTAGATTTGGGTAGTTACCTGGTGCGTGAAAGTGATCGTAAACCAGGCTCATATGTGCTATCCTATCTGGGACGTACTGGTATCAATCACTTTAGAGTGACGGCTGTATGTGGTGATTTCTACATAGGTGGCCGACAGTTTGACAGTTTGTCTGATTTAATTGGCTATTATACAAATTGTTCAGACTTATTGAAAAGAGAGAGACTTGTGTATCCAGTAGCACCTCCTGAACCGGTCAATGATAAGAAACGTGTTGTAGCAATTTTACCTTACACTAAAATGCCGGACACAGACGAACTAACATTTCAAAAAGGTGACATATTCTTTGTACACAATGACATGGGAGATGGATGGCTATGGGTAACTGCTCATAGAACAGGTGAACAAGGAATGATTTTTAGAGACCTAGTAAGTAATAGTATCTGTTAAATTATTATTAATAATTTTTGATTACTTACTTTTTAAATTAATTTAGAACATTTAGGTATTCTTTAAAAAAAATTAATTTTTAACTAATGTTACATAATAATAGCATTAAAAAAATGAAAAAGTAGATGAATAAAAAATCCTATGACAGACCTTGTCATTTATTAGTCTATAGATAAATAGTAATTTTAATATATTATGATATAAGTACAATATGAATTTTAAAACAGTCATGCCTAATTAATTTAGAACAAATGTTTCTTATTAATTTTAAGCAATCAATTAATGACAACCTTAACTAATTAAGTAATAACCAACGAACATTAATTACAAAATTTACATTTTCAGGTTGATCATTTAGATGAAAACATTGATCCAAACACAGTCTTTGATTGGTTTCATCCAGGCGTAACAAAAAATGAAGCTGTAGACATGTTAGTCAAATCTGGTCCTGGAAGTTTTTTAGTCAGACCAAGTGACAATTCTCCAGGTGATTATTCATTATTCTTTCATGTCAACAATCAAATCCAAAGATTTCGCATTGAGAAAAAAGGTGTTCGTTATTTGATGGGTGGTCGTACATTTGAATGTTTAGATGCCGTCATAAATAGATACCGTAAAGAACAGATAGTTGAGGGGCATACTCTTGTGATGCCTGTGTGTCGTAACTCTAATGAGTTGTTAGATTTACCAATTAAACAAAAGGAAGTACAACAAGCTGAAAAAATATATGCAACACTTAGAGAATGTCGCGAACAGGTGGGGATCAAAAAAGTAAAAGGAATAAAAATGCAAGGGTATATGTACAAGAAAAGCGACAAGAATAAAAAATGGAAGTCATTATACTTTGTATTATTAATTGATGGAGTTGATACTCATTTATGTTTTTATGATAATCCTAAAAGAACTAAACCTAAAGGTTTGATAGAATTGAGTTGTGCTTATTTGTATCCAGTACATGAAAGTGTGTTTGATAGACCTAATTGTTTCCAGTTAGTCGAAAGAGCTTTACCGTGTTTGGCTACCATAACTTATTTATCTTTAGCAACACAAGATTTATTTCAAGAATGGCTTTCCTCTTTAAGAATGTACTGTGTCACTCAGTTGTCAAGAGTTCCTAAAGCACACAAATTACGCGAGTTACGTTGCTTACAGCTGCACATTTTGGATGCCCATCGTTTGCCATTCAAACTTGTACCAAACCCATTTTGTATAATATCTCTGAATCAAGTAAAAGTAGCCAGAACTCGAGCTAAGAGTGGACCTGATCCTGTGTTTGACGAAGAGTTCACTTTAGACGATGTACCTCCTGATGTATTGACATTCACTGTAAGCATTTACAACAAAGGAAAACGATCTAAGGATACTGAGGTAGCCGAATTAACTGTAGACTTGAATACATTGAATAATGGAGCTGAAGTCGAAGACTGGTATCCTTTAAGTGGTATAACACCAATTGGGGAATGGGGTTCTCTACGGTTGCGTACTAGATACTTACACGATCTCATCATGCCGACTGAAGAGTATTCACCAATGCAGCAGCTAATTCTTGATCCAGATTTAGAATCTGTACGAGCACTAGCAGATCTATGCCACCAGGACCGCATGCCTTTGGCTACATCTTTAATGGGAATTTTCCGACACGAGAAAAAAGAAGCTGATCTGTTAAGAAGTTTAAATGATGTAGAGATAATGAAAGAGGATGAGACTACTACACTATTTCGGGCTGCATCATTAACTACAACTTTAATGGATCTTTATATGAAATCTGTTTGTTCAGATTTCTTAAAATCTGCAATTCAACAAACTGTGTTTAAATTATTGGAAAGTAAACAATCATGTGAACTCAATCCATGTAAAATGGAGTCCCCAGATGATGCTTGTGACAACGCCGAGTTTCTTTTGTTAGTACTAGATGAGATCACTCAATCCATATTTATGTCTGCTGACGCTTGTCCTCGTACTTTACGATACATATGTGGATGTCTACAGAGAATGGTAATGAATAAGTGGCCGTATGAAAGATTAGTTAGGACCAGAGTAGTTTCTGGTTTTATATTCTTACGACTCCTGTGCCCAGCAATCTTAAATCCTAGACAGTTCAATCTAATTCCAGAACCACCACCACCCATGGCGGCTAGATCTCTGATTATGGTGGCAAAATGCTTGCAGAACTTAGCCAATTTGGTAGAGTTTGGAGGCAAAGAGCCTTACATGGAAGTTGTTAATCCGTTTATACTGAAGAACAAAGAGAGAATGATTGTGTTTTTAGACCAATTATCCAATGTAATTGAGAAACCAGAATCGGAGGGAGAAAAAATTAAAGGTGACCCTGCCCGTAATTTAGGCACCCTCCATCACATTTGTAAAACCCATCTAATCGAACTTCAAAATCTTAGTAAAAATCAACCATCATTGAAGAGGCTGGTAACAGTCACAGAGATGTTAAACAAGCATAAACAAAAATATTTGGAAATGATTACTTGAATTGTATTCACAAAAAAACAATTGAATAAAATGGACATTTCTAATTGGAAATTCATCCATGACTTACAAAGATAATTTGCTGAAAGCATTTTTTTCAACGTTTTAGTTAAGTTATTATTATTAATATTTAATACTTAATAGTTTTTCAAAATTGTATATCCACAAAACTTGTGTTCCAAAGGTATAAGATGAGAGATAATGTTGTTAATAACAAGAGAACTTATCATTTCATCAAAACAAATAACTATATACATATAAATTTATATTTTTTTTGGTTATTTTATGTTATTTATAATGTTATTTTACTGCTTAATGCTTTTCTAAATGTATCAATGACGGTATACACCAAAATCGACTGGTAAACTTTGACTGAGTTTATAATTATTAATATTAATTATGTTCTTCTTTAAATGCTGTCAATTCTGTCGATTTCAACGTAGAGTTTTATGGACGTGCCAAAACTTTTTACAAAATTTATAGTGTTTTAAAAACATATATTATATATATATATATATCGTAATTCAAATTAAACACATTTATTCTATATATATTATATACTATATGTTGGAAAAAAATGATTTTTATTTGATCCATATTAACTTTAAAATATTTTTCTACATTTTGTATTCATGCATTAAAATATCATTAAATATTATGTTTATTGATGATAAAATATTTCCAATGTGTACACTAACCTTTTTTTTTATAATAGTTTTGTTAAATTTTTGTAAATGTGATACGTAGTTAGTATCAAAATAGGTAAATTAATATTATATTGTTAAATCAATGCTAGTTTATGTAGGTATTACTGTTGATGCATTTATGGCCTTAAACAGTGCAGCTACTATTCAGCCATTTGAAATTTTAGCAATTAATAAAACACCTAATAATTTGAGAAGAAATATTTTTTAATTATTACAAAATTTGATTTTATATTAAACTTATTGAAGAGAGTATACAGTGTAATATGTTTGCTTTATTATAAGAATAAATATAAAAAGAAAAAATTTGCACTTATAGTTACTGTTCTTACTGTCATATTAAAGTGAATCAATAAAAATGTGTTTAATACATTTATATTTAATTCTATATTATGATATTATAATATTCAGCTATTCTTGGTGTACTATTTGTCATAAAAATAATTCAAACCTAATATTGTCTTCTACGAGAAACATAATATTTAAAAAATAATTGGTAAGTATTGTATAGATGGAATTCCAATAATAGTTTGAAAACATGATTTATGGGTTATTTTATTAGATATTTATGCACTTTTTTATGTGCATCTTCAGCATTATCATTTATGTGTGGATTCACGATCGCAAACATTGGACTTCAAACAAATATGGATATACAACTGTTTCAACTTATCAGACATTCATGATTCATCACTATTCTGTTAACACTAGAACCATTAATATTATTCCTTCAGTTTATATAAACAGATTTAAATCCATCATATTTTAGTAACTTTAGTTGTTTGACGATATGAATTGGGTAACTGGTTAATACTTCAATATGTCCTAAATATATACCTAATATAACTTTCAAATTAAATAAATAAAATCACTAATTAAATATATATTTAAAATTGTATTGTTGATAAGTATGTCCATAATGGGTTGATGGCATTTTATGTTTTTGAAATAATAAATAGCTCTACTCTAATCATTTATGAATGATGAATTATTTTTTTAACTTTGCTCCAAGTAATATTGACACTTCTCATCACTTTAAATTACATCTACTAACTGGAAACATAAGGTAGTATTTTCACTTTAACAACCAATTAAAGACAATATTTATAGAAATTGTAATTTGTACACAACTTCATTAACTTAAATTAAAATATTTAAATATACTTACCAATTTAAACTTTGAAGTATGACTATAAAACTATCAAATATTATCAGAGTTAAAAAAAGAATTAATGTATAACAAATATTTTATACATAATACTAAAATACTTTTGAAAATTACTGAGAAATTTCTATACCTATCTCATATTATTCTGAAGTATAAAAAATAACCAGACATTTGCATAAATAAATAATTAAATAAATAAATAACAATAATCTGTATCAAAATAATAGTTTGTAATTGTAATGGAATGTACTTAAGTATAAACAATAATTGTATGTTAAAAAAAAAAGAAACCAATGATATATAAGATAAAAAATGTAAAATGACTAAAGAAAATAAAAGGTAAGATTATAATTACTAAAAAAGTTGGTATGAAACCTCAATCTAGTGTAGGCTTATATTATAATTTATAGTCACTAAATAAAATATTTATAATATAGTATCAAATAAAGCATCAATAATAAATAAAAAAAAAAATCAATAATCATAGGCAATAATCCAATAAAATTAAAATTAAAAATAACATAAAAAATTAAACTAAAATTAAATTTCATATCAAATGATTATATTATTTGAACACCTTGTAATCGTTCTAGATGAACATAAAAAAATTTTAATAAAAAGTTAAAACTTGTATTACGATAGGTGTTCAAATAAGTTTAAACATATATTCACAAAAAAAGACTAAGGTTTGTCAGTGGTCGCCTAAAAAAATGGACTGTAAATATATCTAGGTTTTTTGTCAATAGCTTTGATTATTTCATGACCAATAGCTGTACCCATTGGTGGAGGAACTGCATTACCAATCTGCCTATGTTTGTTTATAATTGGACCATGGAATATGAAAGAATCTTTAAAACCTTGTGAACGGGCACACTCTCGTACACTGACCACACGGTGTTGCTCAGGATGAAGTACTCTGCCTTGTTTTCCCATTGGCTCAGGATTTGTAATGGTGGTTGAACAAAACCCTGACCATGCCAGACGGCCGTATAAGCCTGCCCAGTTATTATGTCTATTACCAGTATGTGGTAAACACCAAGGAATAATTGTATTGTTTTGACGATCTTGCGGATCACATTTATCACCAGTGGCACACATGCAAACACCCCGTAATGCACCATTTGGACCATAACCATTTTTGATATCATGGTGAGTATACAAAAGTTTATTGGTTTTAATTCCTTCGGGTAATTGTACTGTTATATTGGGCAGGTCTCTCCAGTCACTTCCTTCACATACTGGTATCAGTGCCATTCTAGCTTGAACCAAAGATGACATGTCTTTGCATATATGATCACTCAATATAGATTCTGCATATCGATTGTCTGGATATCTTAATAATTTCTGTAAATGTGTAATGGGCTTTGATTTGTATATGATATCTTCGTCACTTGCTCCATTTGGTATTTCAGGTAAATCAGACCAAGCATCATATACAGTAACTGTTCTCATAGGAGCTGACTCGTCATACTTACAGTTAGTTTTGAATTTTTTGGTACCAATTTGAACAGTTAAACTGGAGCTCCTTCTATTGAAGACATGTATAGGCTCAGGATAGAGTGGCAATTTTTCACCAGGAGCTGCTGCCATAATAATTAACCTCCTTCTAGTTTGAGGTACACCAAAGTTACCGGCTTGTAGAATTCCAAATGTACACTGGTAGCCCATACGTGTAATACATCTAAGAGTCAGTTTAAGAACCATACTTCTTTTAAAAGATACAAAATTTCTAACGTTTTCCATGACAAAATATTTTGGACGATAGAAATCAATATATGATAAAAATGAAACAATCAGAGAATTCTTAAACAATGAATATTGACCAGAATTAAACCTATTCATTCCACTAAACCCTTGACAAGGAGGTCCTCCACAAATAAAGTCAACTTCACCCTTTTGCGGTATGTTTTGATTTTTACTGTTTGTTTTTTCGCCAGACATTGCTAATTTTAATAAATGATTACAATCTTCAACAAACACAGTTGCCTCTGGATTGTTTAATTTAAATGCCCCTGCAGCTTTGTCGTCGCACTCAATAGCCCAATTACTTATAACGAGACCACTATCTTCTAAGCCCCTAGACAGACCGCCACAACCAGCAAAAATATCAAGTCCTCTGAGTGGTTTGATTTTCTTATATGATGGTATATACTGTAATTTATTTTCATCCACATATTGATATTTATAATTAACATATACTTCTTTGCCTGTCAATTTAGCTTCACTTGGAAGTTCATGTTCAGAGACAATAGAACCAAATATAAAATCATATTTCTTTGTAAAATAAAATCGATCTGGTCCACCCGAAGACCACAAAAGTGGATCTTGAATATTAGAAATGAAAGAAACATAACATTTACCACGTATGTTTTGATATGTAACTCTAAATTCTTCTTCTGACCAAAATAACATATTCATATCTGAATTTTTAGCATAATCTTCTAGAGGAATTTGTTCAGCTCTATACATACGTCGTACAATCAGCTTGATATTTTTTCTATCCCAATCGACAAAGTATATTGCCAATATTTCTGCAATTTCAAATGGATCTGGAGTAGTTTCATTTGAACCACGCATTGTATTTTCCAATGACTTACGATAATACTCAGGATATTTAGTTTCATCAATAACTTTTTGTTCTTGATTACTTATATTTTTATTTGTCTTTTTAAACTCAAATGGTTCTTCTCCAATCATATTTGATCTTGAAGCTGTTTTGAATATTTCAGGTTGTAAATAAATAAAGTTACCAACTTTATACTCTTCATCAAATAATTTAAATTTATAAAAATATGAAATATTATTATCTTGTTCAATGAACTCATGTAATTCAGGTTCTTTTGATTTTTGTTCTAAGACAAAATCTTCACAATTACTACAATAACCTTCTGTAATAACAGTATTTGGTTCTAAAGGTTTTGGATACTCGAATCGTCCAAATTTATCATCATATTGTAGTTGATAAAAAAATGAATTTTTACTTTTGCGATTAACAGGTTCTAAGAGATCTTGTAATTTTGAATTACCGAGTTGAAACCAATTTTTACTAGGTATTTTTTGTACAACATCTATTACTCTGACTATATTTTTAACATCAATATTTGTACAATTTTTGAGTGAAAATATTTCCTGAGGGTCAGCTGTTTCACCCAGTACAGTTTCATAACTATGCATAAAGAGCTGAATATGGGCATTATTTTTAAACTTTGTCTTAAAAAAATATTCTATGCATCCTATTAATGGAATTGTTGAGACATTGTTTTTCACAACAACAAACATCTTTTCACACAGTACTTGGTCTCTCCACAACACCTGATTAACATTTACACGTATATCAGATTTCTCTTTTTTTATTTTAGAGTTGCAAACATCATCAAACATGGTCTTAACAAGTGTATTCACGTTTCCTTCATTTTCTTTATCGTCAATATCTAATTGAGCCGCAAACATATTTTCAAATACATCTTTAACTAACTCTGTAGTAGTTGCCTTGCTGAATTCTCGTTTATTAATATCAGTTTTCACATATTGAGTTCTTTGTCCGGCTCTTCTAGACAGTGCTTTAACAGGTTTTGCAGCCCCTGAAAGCTGGGTCAATGTTTCAATACATTGAGTTTCTGCTAAAGGTAAATGATATGTGTCATTTGAGTCGTATTCTAATACTTGATTGAGGACAAATTGAGCATGAGAAATAAGGTCTTCTTCAGTGAATTTATTGCCTGTTGCTGGGTTTACAGAGTCTATTATACAATTTAAAATATCTTCATAAGTTGGATCGTCATATTCACTACTTAAAATATTTTTAATTACCTCTCTACTTAAATGTATCTTTTCAGTTACTGACGTCATGTATTTTTTATATTTAGGGTGTGGCTCAATCAATAAATAATCAGCATATTCTGTGTTAATACCTATTAATGCCTGAGTACCGCCATCGTATGATGATAACCACCATTCCAATATTGGTCCCAATTCTCTAGCAGCTATTCCTTCTTCTATACCAGGACTATTATCATAGATTGGTTTTACATAGCCAGTCATATATATTGTGACATTTCTCTCCATTACCCCTGAATCTATAGAGCACATATGCCCATTTTCATCATAAATGCTGTAATTTGTTAAGTTGTGTTGTACCACATCATCATTATCAGTGTAAATATTAGCCAAAATCTCGTTTGTTAACACAATGCATTCTGGTGCCGCACTTGAAGGTATAAGCACATCTTCTGTATTTGTTTTATGACAAAACTTGCAGCGTACCTTAGAATTGGAGATTGGGATATCTGTATGCATACCACTGTTGTCAGAAGGTGAATCATGCTGTTCTTGTGTGATGGACGGTTCTTCACATTTGCGTTTAACACCTTTTGGTTCTGGGTCGCCATTTATACCACCTGCCATGTGCTCGACCTTTACGTGACTATCAGACCTAGAGAAGTAAAAAAAATTATATATAATTATTTTGAGACGAATTGGACAATACGAGTATTATACTCATAAAATCATGATTAAATATTTTCAATACGCTTACCGGTACTTTGTGCTAATCAATAAATATGCGCAGAATTACCAAATTGCTCAGCAGCTTGAGCAACAACGACAACAACAAATGAAAAGGATGACTGGCAATTGCAACGGACCGCTTCACCAAAGATCCACAGGTGTTGGTTAATATACACGTCTATGATAAAGTATTTCGATTTCCGGCCATATTTCCCAGTGTTTGGCAAATAATGGCGCGAAAATATCAATTGTTATCAATGAAACTTGATACTTTGATATATATATATATATATTCCCCTTGGAATGAAATCCATGCACCCTAATGGAAGTATTTTATGGCAGTGCACACCAGCGCAATCTGGTTGCTTAAGCCTCAACAAGCACTGGCTTAAAATTCAAATAGTCAAATACTCAAAATTCAAATGCCTGTAACAGAAAAATGGCTATAACAGCCACAAAATAGATGAAATCCTATACGAAATATGCCAATACCACCGACGCACGGAAATACGGAATAGAACTTATATTATTATATAGAACAAATTAAGTATCCCACAAATGTGTCTTTTTTTTTTAAAACTGAAAATTATTATTTTATATCCAATCCAAATACAGTAATCTCGATAACACGAAACTACCTAAAGGAATAAAAATTAATTTGACTTTTTGTATAGTAATATACATCAAACACAACTTAAAAACATTTCCAGAAGACAAGAAAAAAATTAGTCATCAAGGTTTTCGAATTATCGACACTCAATTATATTTTGAATTTTCTCAATGATCGTCAATACTCATTACTCAAGTATGGTCATATACCTACACAATTATTCACCTCTAGGCTTATAGTTCAGAATATGTCAGTATAGTTAAGGCTAGCGGTGATTGAGTTAGGTGTTAGGTAATTACCTAGTAAATAAAAATAGAACAAAATATGAATGAATTAACTAAATTAAATTACTTATGTTAACTACTTTACTAAATTAATCTGTTTAAGCAACAGAACAATTTATTACACATGATTATCATTATTAGTTACTAAAAGTATACTCACCACTTGACTAAAATACTAGCATAGTCTGTACTTTGAATTACTAATTAGGCTAACTATTGATGAATTGAAATATCCAATATTATAACAGACTGCTATTTTACCATAATATAGGAAAAGTAAACATAGTATGCAGATATTCAGCAGTCAATATTATATTATTAATATTTAATAATTTAAGTTATAACTATTCTCATTATAAAAGCAAACTCATCTTCATTCAATTAATTCAGATTTTACAAATACGATTATTATAACTTGAAATTCAAAATGAGCATTCATAAGCCAGTAAGCCAATTTGACACCTAGTTATTAAAAATAACATTTAAGCAAATACATTATAAAGAACTATACATAAAATAGTTATTATTTTTCAGTTTTTCATTTAATTAAAAAAAAAAATAATCTTAATTTGTATTTAGTATCTTTACACACATACACAAAAAAAGATACAAGATACACCAGAAAAAAAGTAAAATGACCAGAAAATAAGATGCATAATACTAGACATGACTAAATAGATTTAATCATGATGCAATTAACAAATTTCAAAAAATACGAGATACAATAGTTAATAGATACAAATGTACCTAAAAATCTAAGATACCTACATAGATACATATCTTATAGATACTAGCATACTGCCCATTTCAGTGTATATCATATAGTATACTTACTACTTACAATGTCCAGTAAAAGTTAACAAACACTAAACTGGCCGAATTCCACCGGTAATAAAATCTATTATCAGTCGGTTAGCGTTAATCGACACTTTATCAGACATTGTAAGAACCGCCCTTAGTTATGTAGGCTAACGGACAGTTTTTTGCTCAGTATAATGAATAATTTATCATTGAATTCAAATTTAACACTTACATTACAGTGACACTCAATAACAAGATATACTCAACACCTAGGTACTGATACCTACCTTTATCTCCCCCCAAGTGGCGTACCCAGGATTTTTACTATTTTAGTGCTGTGGACCAGCCCAACTCACAAGATCTCTTCTGCGTAACTATTAAATCCAAAACCGTTCGTTTTGCCTATGATTTACTTAATAGTTTATTATTTTCATATTATTTTGATACCGATATAACTATTTTACTTACATAAATACATTTTACAAGCTTACATAAAAACAGTTAGTATTAAGAATTTTAATTAATTGTCAAATCTAAGTCACTAAGTTAATTGATGGATAAGTGGTAACTGATAAGCATAACATTTATCTCACGACTCACTGGGAAGTTTTAGTTCAATCTGTAAATGCTACTCGATTATTATTACCATTACAAAAAAATTCACCATCCCGTTACGAAGTGCTATTAATGAATAGCTTCTTCTTCAAGCCAACCATGACCAATGCCCTATAATTGTATTTCCCCTCCATTGTGCTTATTGTAATTATATTTTTATACAGATTGTATAAAAATAAAAACAAATATGACAAAAAAAAAAAAAAAAAAATTAACATTATTGTCATGTTTTTATGTTGGCTTTGTTTTCATTCTTTCTGTTAATAAATAATTAATAGAAAGTACGTAGTCTAATCTGATTCAAAAATAAAAAATAATATTAATGACTTACGCTTTATATTTTACACCCTATAAAATATATACTTTTAACAACAACCATTTGAAATATAGTAGGTTTCCAGTGGTGAGGCGTGAGTCTAAATATCTTTAAGTAGGTAGTAATAACTCTACGACGCTGGAAAAAAATAACCAAGTCCCCAGGGGCCACGATATTACGATAATAAATTTGCGGCGGACGTCGATAACGATAATTGCACAGAAATAAAATTAATTATAATTTAATAACTATTACTTTTGTATAAATAAACTAAAACTTGAATGAGAACAGCGAGACACGTCACGTACTCACGTGTGACAAGTCTCAGTACTTTTAAATCCATTCTGTGGCGCAACTACATAACGTGAGTGGTGAGCACGGATATAGATACTAAATGTACTAGACATGACTAAGGCTCTTAGAGCTCTATTAAAGCGTTAACGTGACTAGAGTACTAGACGTGACAACGATAGTCGATAACCATCTCTATTCACTCTTTCCAATTCCCCCTGCACACCACGCCATGATGTCGTCTCATATTTATTTTTAGACTGTATTTTTGTATTTACTGGAATGACCCTCTACGCCAGGCATCGCCAGTTCAAGAGCGCGGCTAGCTACTTACAACAATAAAAAAAAAATAATATATTTTGACTAATATTATACGTATTATAAATTATTTATATCTTTACATAATAGGTATATAATTCTACTGTACGTGTGTTTGTAGCGAACTCCTATTAAACGGGTGGACCGATTTTGATGAAATTTTTTGTGTGTGCTTTAGTAGTTTAGTGGGCCCTTGAATGTTTTAGACTCACAATCGGACCCGGTAGGCCCATTCCGTGGAGGTGCTCAACGGGAATGTTGAGGTTTATGGTGGATATTTTTATTTATAAATGGTTGCCATGGGTTTTAAAGCTATTATAATAATAACTATCGGTTGCCGTGAAATCAGAAATAATTTATAAACAACGTTATAATATAATTAAAACCAACGAAAATGTTTAATGTCATTTCATACTTTATTTAATATCCTAATCGATTGAAATATCATGCAGGACAACGTCTGTCGGGTCAGCTAGTTTTATAATATTATATAAGTATGTGATTTGTATGACATTATGACATTCAAATTTGTAAAATAGGCCATAGGGGCCAAGATGCCAAATAAAGAAATGTGTGTCAGGCACTCAGGTGACCCCTAACGTGCGCAGACTTAAATTTCTGGTCGAGCCTTGGCAATTATAGTGCCCTAATATTTGGACAGCTCCCCTATTTTTTTTATACCCATATCCATATCCACATACATGTCGATGTAGGTACCTAATAATGTCTATAGTACTGTAATTATTGTATTTGTAGAAAGGTATAATGTTTTTGTTTGATTAATAAAATGTACCTATAATGGTTCACTCAAATAGTTTTGATTTTATTATACTTTCACGAAAAATAAAATGTTCATGATCTCCACGAACATATTATTATTATAATACAAGCATTTATATAATAAAATATATACGCACATTTTACTATGCCCCTAAAAAGTTTCAGGTCAAGCCTGAGCACCTATGCCCCTAAATCATTCTAGTCATTTAAATACTGAACGTTTTTAATTCGTATTGCGTAATTCAATAATCAGGGCCAGATCTGAAGCTTGTTTAAGGGGGTGGCGAGTAGGAATGTTTTTGAGTGATATATAAGTACACTGAACATTTTATTTCTATATTAGTTAATAATTAACTTCTATGAGTTCATTCATACGCAAGACGAGAGTCCAAGTTCAGTTTAAATACTCTGAACAGTCTGAACAAACATTGATTAACAATAATTATAATTACTGTAATTGATACGATTAATTAAATTATCTTAGTTACAGTTTTTAAATCAGACTTTTCTGAGTAGGTACACAAAAATATGGAGTGTTAAATCAAAAAGTTTAAAACTTAAAGTTTGGCATAAACGCAGTTCAGCTCGAAAGCGTTTTTTGGATTTTTTTTCGTTATTGCATGCTTAATTTGTAAGTAATAGATAATACGGATTGGTCGCTTCCGATCTTTGATTCAGAAATTTTTGAGTCTTTATTTTACGGAATTTAATGCGGACATCGCCATTAGCGCTAAGACCATAGAAGACTGTTGTTTTTTATAAAAGTTAAATGTTATAAAATTTATAATAATAAAAATATTATTTTTTAAGGCATACTTGATTTTTTTTTAACAGATGGTCGAGTATAAAATAAATATTAAATTTATAGGTCACCATTGCAAAA